AATACTCATTTCACTGTGACCAAAATCAGAGACTCACAGTTGTTCTTGCCTATTAATACACTGGTCAGGGGTGAGCTAGCAATTGTTAGGTCAGCTGCTCACTTCCTAGTGGGCATCTTTCTTTTACGGAAAAGCTTGATGGCTGATCAAAGAGTAGCTACTTGCTGTCATGTTGCTAGACTGCTATGTTATTCATTACTTTGCTCATTTAAAATAGTTTTTGAACATAGCATCTGTCATTAATCCCAGCCCTCAGAAGGCAGAAGTTAGTAGATCTCTAAGAGTTCAAGACCAGTCTCATCATCTATGCAACAGGTTCCAGGCCACCCAAGACATAGTGAGACTCTGTCTTGAACAATAAAATCAATTAATTAGGTAATTAACTAATTAGCTAACTAAGTATATAAAGCAACCGTTTGATATCCCTATCAAGTTACTTTAGATTTGGTAGGAAAAGACATAAACTGTGCTCAGTCGTCAGAGTCTAAAGCACTGATTCTCAATCTGCGGGTTGTGAGCCCACAAAATGACATTTATGAAGCAGTAACGAAATGATTCTATGCTTGGGGGTCACCACAACGCAGGAAACTGTAGTAAAGACTGCAGCGTCAGGAAGGCTGAGAGTCACTGGTAAAGAATCCTGCCTTGTGGCCTCCACTCTGCAATCCCCAAGCGCTTTATACACCGTCTGCTCCATTCACCACCCTCAGAACCTGCTCGAACCCAGCAGAGACGGCTCACTCCCCATATCAATCCTCCTGCTACTTTGTCTCAGTGTGAGTAAGTTCTTCATGCCCACATGCATCCTCAAACATGGCCATTCTAATCATGCCAAGTCCATGATCTTCTAAGTGACAGTGGTGAGGATGTTGAAGCCCTGGAGCTGGAGTGATGGATGCTGGAGACATCCCCCCCCCCCAAATCAGGTCCTCTGCAAGAGCAAAGCTCTCCAGCCCAGTGCCCCACATCCTTAGCTACTCTGCTTGCTGATGACTTCTTTTCTTCTTTTATTTATTCTTCTCTCATACAATACATCCTGACTTCAGTTTCTCCCCTCCCTCTGCTCCTCCCCCATATCCACTCCTCCTCCAGTTCCCTTCAGAAAAGGGCAGGTCTTCCAGGGCTATCAACCAAACATGGCATAGCAAAATGCAATAAAACTAGGCACAGACTCTCCTATCAAGGCTGGATTAGGCCTCAAGGTTGGACGAGGCATGGTTATTTTATATTTCTGTAGTTAAAAGTAATAATCATTAATCCGGGCAGTGGTAGCACTTGGGAGGCAGAGGCAGGTGGATCTATGGGAGTTTGACGCCAGCCTGGTCTAGGACAGCCAGGATTGCTACACAGAGAAACCCTGTCTCAAGAAACAGTATACAGTAATAATAATAATAATAATAATAATAATGATGATAGTTGTTGCTGTAATTAAAATTTAGTTGTATCCTAGACCCAATGGTATATAATATATTGAACTAAATCTACTAAGAATAAGTTTTAAATTACATACATGTAAAGAGAAACCTTTTCCTTGAGAGAAGCCTTCCCGCCAGCCTGATTCCAGAGCCGCATCAGTCCCAAATAAACACACAGCAGACTATATTAATTATGAAGCTGTTGGCCTTGCTTGTTTCTTACTGGATAGCTCTGACTTAAGTAATTACCCCATAATTGTTAATCTAAGTATGTCTCTTACCGGAGAAGTTTCCGGGCTTCCTACCCCATGGCATTACATCTCGACTCCCTGTGTTTCTTCTTCCCAGAGTCCTCCTGGACTCCTAGTCCCACCTATCTTGGTTCCCTATTGGCCAACAGTGCTTTATTGACATATAAACAGAACTTCCCCCATCACATACATACATACATACATACATACATACATACATACACACATACATACATACATTCATACATACATACACTAACCTGTGAAGGCAATGAGGATCAAACATCAAGTAACACTGAGCACCCAGAGTCCTGACCTCAGGATTTTCGCAAGGGCACTTTCCAAATTATCGTGAAGGTGAAGGGAATCCAGGAAGCAAGCAACAATCTTGTAGATCTAAGGAGAGAGTCATGTGAGGATGCTGTGTTGCCTATCAGCTGACTGCCAACTTGACGCATCTGGAAAGGGGGTCTCAACTGACAAGTACCTCCATCAGATTGGAGCATTTCTTCATTAATGACTGGAGTGGAAGGGTCCATCCACGTTGGGTAGTGACACCCTGGGAAGGTGGTTCTGAATTGCGTAAGAAGGCTGGGGCAAGCCTTGGAGATCCAGACAGCCAGCCTGCACCCATTATTCCTCGGGCTCTGTGTTTCATTCAGTCCCTGCAGTGAACGCCTGTTTCGTTTATCTTCATGCTGGACTGTAGGCTGTAAGATGAAATAACCCTTTCCTCCCCAGCTCATGTTTGGTCATGCAGTTTTATCACAGCAACAGCCAGGACAGCTGCTTGTGGAGTTTTGGTCTGAGGAGTGAACTGTTAGAGAAAAATCAAACCGAAGAGCTTACCCACACAGTAGCCCTCAGCCTTCCTTCCCTTTAAACTCTGTCTTCTTGTATGTGAGGCAAGCTTCAAAAAAAAAAAACTGTCACAGACCGTAGCAGACAGAAGAGCCTAATGCAGGGATTTCAGCAGGTGACCAACACTAGCCAAACAAAGTCTGGAATTCAAAGTGGAAAGGACCTATTACAGCCAAACACCGGTTAATAGGCACATCTTAAAATTAATGATCACACTCTATAGCTGTCAACATTGAAATAAGCCAGGCTTCACAAAGGTTAAGACAATGCCTTGGCTGGGTGAAGTCATTCAATGAAATGCTTCAAGAAACAAGACATTTAATGGGCAAATCGCACATTGCCTTTATGTCTTAGCACCTCTAATCTGAAAACTGATTGAAACTTTAAACCTACTGAAAATGAGAGCAAACATGAAAAATGAACTGAAGAAAAGAAAGCAGACCACCAGCCTTTCCAGAGCCCAGAGTATTGCAATTACATCTGCCCAAGCCTGGAGCATTAGCTACCTCAAAGGCTTATGTCACTTCCTGTGCCTGTGTGAGCACCTCCATTACAAGAATTCCCTATACTGAGCTGCTGTAGTCCCTGCCACCCACAGACTAGCAACCTACTCCACTGAATGGTGCATTCTGTATCTGCTGACTAAGCAAGGAACCATGTGGATATAGCAAAGCCAAGGGCTGACTCTTAGTGGTCATCTCCACAAAGGCAACTCAAAGTATCATATCAAAGACATGTGGCTGACATCACCATAGTTCTAGAAAACAATTATAAAGTAGGAAGTTTGAAAACTGGCTGGCTGGCTTGGACACAGTTTGTTTGGATTGTACCATAGAAGAGACAGGGTAGCTGCCAATCACATTGTGAGCCATCTTTAATGAGATGAGCTGTCCTTGGAATATTAGACATTTCAGAAAGCCGGTTTCCCACTGTAAATGACACTGAGGAAGCTGTGAAGAAGGCTCACCACCCTCGCAGTATGTCCACCACAGTCCGAAGCATGCCTTCTCCTAAGCTCTTGCATGAAGAGCTGTTGATGAGGCTTGTCTGTAACCTGTCCTGCATGAAGGGGCAGAAGGAATAATGAGGGTGGCCTGGCCCTGTTTGAAAGTGTGCCTATGGATGTTCAGCACACTCTGACTTCAAGAGTGACAGGGCTGCACTGTCACTTATTTTAGTGTTTAAGTAGTATAGTACATCACAGATAAAAGGTTGCAATAATATAACCGCCCCCAATGTTTGGTTTCATTTTCTCAAAACCTAAAACATGGCATCCTGATGTAATTACTGGAGTGTGTCCCCGGGTATGCTCAGGGATGGCTTCATGAATTCCTCAGCCTGTTGCTGGAATTAAGAGTCTGCAGGGACAGTGAGTCACTGTGGTAGTATACTGTAGTATGAATACCAATATTTCCTTCCAGTCACATTTTCACTATGAAGATTACAACACAAATTCTGCGCAAAATCAAATGATATTAGTTCTTGTCTGTTTCCCAAATGGAATTCTATTTTAATTGATACTTTAAAGATATATGAAGCTACAACAAAAACTATAATTATTTTAGGGTAACCAGAAAGAAACTCAAAGACCAGAGCTGGGCATCTCTTTAAGGCACACAGCAGAGCTTCTTTTAGGGGCATTTAACACAATGGTCACTTTTGTTTCCTCCAAGAAGGAATATTTATTAAATAAAACTGGATGAAAAGGCTTAAAATACAAATGTTTAAGATTTTTCACTGTATAGTACCTTTTTTCCATGGAATTTCTTGGTTTTTCTCTCTGAAAAATCAAGATTAAGAATTTAAAGAGCTAAATCTACTGCTGGCATGGACTTTAAAACACTGGTTAATGTATAAAAGAAAACATCAAATTATGGGGGAAAAATGAGGATTGCCAGAATTCACACAGAATACTAGAGCTTAGTATAAAATGAAAAGGACACTATTAATCCAAAAATGTTTTAAATTTGAAACAAAAAATTATTGGTTTTAAAGTCCTATTTCACAAGGCAGAACATGAGATTTAAATAACCAAATCTAGTTATGTAGAAAATATGAAAACTGTCAGAAAAACAAATTAGGAAAAGTCAGAGATTCAATGTGTGATCAGATATACATGAGCAGAAATGACAACTGAAAAGAGGACAGAGATTTTTCAAACTGATAAAAGACACCAACCCAAGAAATGGAGAAAAATCACTGTCTTGGGATGAGACTCACACTGTCGAGGGTGGATTTCACAGTCAGATGGCTAAAAACCAGAATGGACACAGCTGAGAAGATACCCAAACTGACTCACAGAAAGCTGAGGTTGGGAAATAGAAGAGTAGCAAAAGCATCAGATTCACAGACTCCGTGGTAAGGCTCAATCAAAATGCAAAACTAAAGCAAAGGTGAAAGAGGAGTAAGCAATTTTTGAAGAGAAAATTGTCAATGTTATTTGTTTCAGGTTCAAGGAATTTTACAAACTCCAGGAAGAATAAACACAAGCATACATTTTATTTTTATTTTTTTGGAAACAGTATAAAGTTTGGATAATTGAGGTGTATTTGAATCTTAGAGGGACTAGAAGCAGCAGAGCTCCACGGTACAAACTAAGTGATCTTCTCACTGAACAAAACTTCCTCTCATTTACCTTTGTTATTATGGCAGCAGTATTATCAGACCCTGGGGCCATGTCAAAGATAAACTAGTTTTAAAATACTTTCTGCTGAACCAACAATAATGGAAGTGAGGAAGCGCAATCGAGTCACATGGTCAGGATCACAGGAAACACATCCATGGCTGGACTTTGGTGGCTGAACTCTCAAGGGCAGATCGTTGCACCCAAGATTATTTGTTTCCGTTCTCTTCTGGCATTTGAGCACAGAACCACCGTTCTTCCTCTCTTTGTCAGACTTGGCAATTACTGCCGTCGCAGTCTATACGGCACCTGCTCTGGTGTTCCACACTCTAAAAGGGGGTTGACTACAGAAGCGAGGAGAGGCGAGAAGTTACTGACAGTGGCATCTAACTTTGTCGACCTGATAGCCCCCCTCTTTTATTCTGGGAAAAGAACCCCTGGCGCCCTGGAATGTGAGGGTGCCCACATGTCTCAGCCTCAACAGACCTAGAAGCCACATTCAGAAGGAAGGATACCGGGGCGTGGCGCCACAAACTTCTCTGTGAGTTTGAAACCTCCCTCTGTGAGGTCTGCAGAGAGTGTGGGACACCTGGCCTACAAAGAGAGACCCAGTCTCAAAAACCAAAACAAGAAGCTTGGAATGAGGGGATGGTGGGTGCTGAAGTACCCAGCCCCAGCCTCTGCCACCGCTACCCTTTCTATGCTAGTGCAAGCCAATGGCTTGCCCCTAGTAACTTCAAATGGAGTTAAAATGGCTTGAAACCCAAAGGTTTTTCGCTGGGGTAGATTTGAACTTAGAACTTAAATCTTTTCCAGCCAAGACCCTGGAATGTGAAGCTGCCTGAGTGAAGATAATATAGAGACAATGCAAATTCCTCCATCTTCTCTTGATGAATAATACACCTGTTGTGTATTTTAGTAGCTTAAATAATGCCACCTGAAAAATCACGTCTTAATCCTAAGACTCAAAAGACAGGGGGATTGCCATGGGTTTAAGGCCAACTGGGACTACACAGGGAGTTTGAGATCAGCGTGAACTACAGAGTGAGACTGTCTTAATTAAGGTGACTATTGCTATGATAATACGCCATGACCAAAGCAAGCTGGGGAGGGAAGGGTTTATTTGACTTCTGCTTCTATATCACAGGACAGGAACCCAGAGGCAGGAGCTGATGCAGAGGCCATGGAAGGGTGCTGCTTACTGGCTTGCTCCCCATGGCTTGCTCAACCTGCTTTCTCACAGAACTCAGGACCACCAACGAAGGGATGACTCCACCCACAATTGGCAGGGCTCTCCCATATCAATCACTAATTAAGAACACACAGTCTCTTCTGCAGTTCAATCTTATGGAGGAATTTTCTCAGCTGGGGTTCCCTCTTCTCAGATGACTCCAACCTGTGTCAAGTTGACATAAAATTAGTCAGCACACAAACCTTGTCTCTAAAAAAATTATAATTTATTCACCTAGGACTTTACAATGTAGCCTTATTGCAAAACTGTGACATGTGTATAAGATGAAGTCACAGGGGGTTAAAGTGAATTCCCATTCCAGTGCCCTGGATCCTTATTAAAAGTGGAGAGACCCTCAGGAAGGTCATGTGACAGTGTAGGACTAGCTCTGAGTGAGGCAGCTACAAGGAACGCCAACACCTATGAAGAGGCAAGGAAGAAATCTTCAGAGGTTTCACCAACAAGGTCATTCCAGATTTTAGCCACCCCAAATGCAACAAAGTGTCAGTTATTTTAAATGACAGTTTGTGATCCTTTGTTGGAGCAGTCCCACAAAATGAAGTCATGCAATAACAGGGCAGTGGCTTAAGCTGGCCTTCTTTGCTGGAGTTTTAGAAATGAAATAAAATAAAACAGTAAGCAGGCACTCTAACATGTTCCTCCTTCCTATACCCTAAAGGAAAATGTTGGAGAAAAACCTACTCACAGGAAGGAGACAACGGCCCCATCACACATGCAAGAAGCAGATGGATCGGAAGAGTATGAGTACAGACGAACTCATTCCAGTGAAAGAACAGAATGATAACCATGAGAATATTTAGAAGGGAACAAAATGTATTACAGATTTTAAGTTGATATATAACATAAACATATCAATTCAGAACTTTAATAAATTGTTAATGGTCCAAAACAGTGATATAATTTTTATCTGGCATATTTTGGCTGTATATTCGTTGAACAATTTTTATATACTAATGATTTTGATGTTGTACCTAAAGCAGATAGAAAAACGTAATCTAGTTTTATGACAGGTTACTGCAAAAAAACTTAAAAGTTAAATAAAAATTTAAAAGGTAGCTGATTGAAATCAGTTTTTTATTTGAAGTCTAGAGGTTTTCCTTTCATCTTTCACCTATCATCATCCAGTGTCCCTGCTTCAACTTTGACTAACTTCTTTTTGAGAAGATTCTTTTTCTTCCTGGAACTAAGCCCACAAAATTCTAGCTCTTTGATATAGCCAAATATGCTAGGCAGCTCACCCACACACACATACACACACACACACACACACACACACACACACACACACACACACCTTCCTCTTTGGGTCAAAGTACAGGTCCATATAGTAGATTGGTCCCACTAATGACTCTTCTTGGTGGCCAGGCAAATAAAGAATAGTGTCAGTAGCCTTCACTCCACACCACTAGGTCCTAGAGAGCCTGACCTCTAGGCCGACAAACTTGAAAGGGCAACTAACTGAGGAGCACTTGCATCCAAGCCTCTTTAGGGGTGTTGGGGGGAGGACTGGCTGGCTGTACATCCATCTATCCATCTTTGCACAAGGCCTTGACTAGCAATTCTGGAGACCTGGGCAATCAGGAGCCAAGCCAATAGCAGAGCTGAACTGAGACTCTGTCCATATGGAAGTTATTCTATGGCAGGAAGCTGCTTATTAGCAGGATTTTTGTTTGTTGTTTGTTTAGTTTCAAGAAGCAGAACACAGGAAATCTATACTCAAGTCTCTACAAAAATAATTTTGCTGGCAAAAACAAAAGGTTATCCAGAAGTTTCCATGCAGCTTTGCTTGTCTCATCATGTTTCTCTATTACTTCTTTCTTTATTTCCTTCTTTCTTTCTTTCTTTATTTCCTTCTTTCTTCTTATTTTATGTGTATAAACATTTTGCCAGCATTGTATGTATGTGTGCGTGCCTGGTGCCAAATGATTGCAGAAGAGGTTGTCAAATGCTCCCAAAACTAGAGTTACAGACAGTTGTAAGGTACCATGTGGGTGCTGGGAGTTGAACCCCACTCTTGCAAAAGAGCAGCCAGTGCTCATAGCCACTGAACCATCAATCATTCCAGCCCATCTCTCTAATTTGCTTGGCATTTTCCTTGCCTAAGTGCTGTTTTCATCCTCAAACTTACTTTTCCCTTAATCACAAAGTAGCTGCCAAGAGTGACAGATATTAAATGTATCCTTTTTCACGTTCAGGAAAAATGAAGATTATAAACATTTACTGTGCATCAACAAGATCTCAGAGCTTCTAGCCGAAGTCAGTCTCCATATATAAGAGTCCCTGGCAGTCTTCCCCCCTAGCTGCATGACCTTTACTAAACTAATAAAATGCTATAAATTGTTTTGAATTGTCCCTGGGGCTGGGTATGGCCAACCCCACACAAACCCAGTGGAAACGTTTAGAACGGCTACTGGATAGCAAACGAGACATCTGTAATAAGTAAGGCAGCTTTTCTTGTCTACTGACCCCATAAAGCCATGACAGCCCAGAATCAAAGCCACTGTGGACTCAAGGCTGGAGTCATTTAGTGGTTATCTGAATAAGAGATCCAATAAAAGAATGATCAGTTCTCCTCCAAAATACACTTATCGCCACTGCCCCTCTTCACCTTGGAGCACAGGATAGTAGCAATGAGATTTGCCCAGAGTCTCATTGTTCAGCCCCGCATTGCAGGGTTTTAATTTTTATCTGTTATTTCCTGGGTCTTTCATTTGATTTCAACACATTACTGATTATTTTTAGGGCTGCCATTAACACAGACTTCAATTGCTGTCCTGTTTTTCCCCTAGGCAGTGAAGCAGTTGCCATGGAAACAGAATCCGGTGCCTCTGTCTGGAGCCTCACATCAATACAACTTGATGAGAGGAAGGAAGACACTACATCCTACCTGTATTTTATGTCTCCAGATTTATTAACCAAAAAAGATGCAAGTCATGTCAGGGGTTGGGGGAGGGAAGGGCATATATCTGATGATACATAGGGGGTGACACCTTGTCCAAGAAGATGCATCAGCGCTCTCTTCTGGAATTAATGCTTTGGCTTGAGATTCAGAGAGATTTTTAATGCGTGAATTAACTAAAGATACGAAGTCAAAAGGTAGAGGATACTGAAAAATCGGAGGAAGGTGAATTTTAACTGCTGTTGCTTAACAACAGAGTAGTGGAGGAGGAGCCTTCCCCCAGAGAGCCAGCGCTTATCATCAGGGAAGAGGCTTTCCCCACAGCAGCTCCACCCCACAAACACTAGGATCTGAAAGCTCCTCCAGACCGGCTAGCCTGGGAGGAGGGAGTCCTAAGCAACTGTGGATGAGTCAGCTCCCACCAGTCCAAAGGGGTTCCGGAGCGGGGGCAGGGCTCTGGCTGGAGCACCAGGGAGAGGACAGAGCTGCATGACAAGCCGTGTGGACAATGGCAGCAGCTACATGTCTGAAGCAATGACAGCTCCAAATACTGACTGGCTTGTTTACGACAATGTAGAACCCATTCATAAGAGGTCTCACCGTGAACCAGGCCCTGATTCTAAGCTAAAATCTGTTTGTGTGTACAGTTCATCTTGGCCTCTTTAGCATAGAAGACATATCTGTGTGACAGCCATAATGAGAAAAGCCCCCCAAAATCACCAGAGAAGGGTACTGAATCCATTAAATGGGGCAGGAAGCAGTGAGCTAAAACTGAGAGAAAGCCAGGTTCTCGTAGGTGCTGGAATGGGGCCAGTAAACAGCACAGACAGCAGGAACGGATAGCAGTGAGCTGGGGAAGATGGTAGCCAGCTCTCATTGGGTAGTTTGTCTTGCAGTGTCTTCCTCTTAGTGTGATATTTTAAACCAAGTAGGTAAAGTTACCTTTATACTGCCTTTTTTATTATTATCTGTTTGTTTGGTTTGTGATCCTGGCCCTATCACAGGGGAGAGAGAGAGAGAGAGACTGTAGTTGAAATCCATAATCCTAGCACTTTGGAGGCTGGGGATTGCTGTGACTTTAAAGTCAGCCTAGACAATATAGTGAGTTCTAGAACAACTAAACTGTGTCAAAATGCTTCCCCTCACTACCCCACTCAACCCACTCCAATCTCTCCCCTGTGTCCTAGCCATATCCGTCAATTCTCAAGAAATTTTTGAATGGCATAAGCCATCATTTGGTAGGAGAAAATAAGGTCACCGTTAGTAAATGGAGTCTTCTCCACATATCACCAAGTTTGGAAATATTGTTTCTGTTCAAACATTCCCAGGCCTCCTACCACTGAATACTGCTAAAAAGGCAGACCACAGAACACATTTCTTGGATTCACGGGTACTCAAGGCTGTCAGGCTTGCCTACAGAGCCCTTGTTGGAGCTGTTTTGCCCATATTATTTATCCTAGGCACAAGTGGCTGGGAGCTCATGTCTTTCTTACTTATTGTAATTCGGACAAAATTTCTAAGCTGCTCATCCTCTCCCTGGCTCCCAGTTGATCTGTACTGCCTATGCTACCCCTGCCCAGCCCCATGACCTTCCCCAGGCTCTGTCTAGCTCTCTCCTCCATTCTTGATATTAAATCCTCTGCCTTGCCCTTGAAGAACCACGCTGGCATGCCTGAGGGGCATGTCAGTGAGAATAGCATCACAGTAAGGCTCATGGAGGCATGGACATGAGGATCACGAGCAAAAAGCTACCCAGAAGTACAAAGCAAGACTCTATCTTTAAAAAAGACTAATATTAAAATCAAACTGAAGCAGGCCAGGTGTAGTGGTGCAAACCTTTAAACCCAGCTCTCAAAAGGCAGATGCGGTGGATCTCTTGTGATTTCAAGGCTAGCCTGGTCTACAAAGCACGTTCCAACTGTAAAAGGCCACAGTGAGAGCTGGAAAACAAACTTTTGTCTAAAATAATTGAGACTAACATGATTAGAGCTTGTCCCAGGGAGGTCATTGTAGAATTGGTAAACATAAGATCATATTGATATACACAGCTTGAAAGTCAAGGGAGAAAGATGAGGTCAGGCCAAATGTAAAGAGCTTAGTCTAAACAATTAGTTCAACATGGTATTTCAGAAAACTGGTGTTGTGCCAAGCATGATTCCAATAACAATTCACTCACTCCCACACTACAGGCCAAGTCCACAGATGAGGAGGTGAATACATAGGTCATGTTAATGACTTGGGCAAAGTTCCTTGCTGTGGTCATTAACTGAGAAAGCACAGAAATTGTCAGGTTCCCTTAGACAGAAGTGAAAGAGTTTAGGAGCAGTGTTAGGAGTCCAGCTTTAGACTTTTTAAAGTCTGGAGATTAGTAATTACCCACTACGCCAGGTTCACCCCTGCTCTTAGCCAATATTAGTCCATAGAGACACCATGCAGGGATTGTACCAGGCTGGCGTTTAGGATCCCGTGGCTTAGTCCTCCACTAGAACTAGTATTAAAAGGGGGGAAAATGCCACTTACCAAGCCTTTTCTGATTTCCGTGGTGTTAATACCTATACCATTTCCAATTTCGAAGCACCAGTGTGAATTTGTTCAATGCAGGGATTGCTACATGTTCTCCGCCCATGCTGTGCTGCACTGCTGACACTGTGAGGTGCCATCAAGTTCCCCACAATTCAAGGCTGCCACGTGGGAAGGAGAATTTACGGTTGTCAATGTGGCCAAGGTAGTTACGAGAATAACTTAGACTTGGATTGGAGATTGCATTATGGATGATAAACAGATTAAATTCAAGGATGTGGACTGACAGGGGGCTGCAGGGCTGCTGATTCTAAGCTCGGACAGAGGGTGGAGGTAGGAAGAACCCATACATCTCAAGAATCCAAAGACAGGCCGGCCCACCAGAAGAAGCGCCAGAAGTAGGTGGGGGAAGATGTCCAACCCGGGGTGTAAAGAAGCATCAGAGGTCTCCAGCCAGTGGCAGCAGCGGGATTCCTCATGCATTGCCTTTGTCAGATGGGCCCTCTAAGCCACCAGCTGCAGAATCTCTGGGAAGCAATTAAAATAACTATCTCAAACAAACCCCAGGTGTGGGAAGTTCCCTTCCAGGTGTTGGTCAGGAGGGGTCCAGGCTTACTAAAGCCAGTGCAGGCTCTTGCCATTGCTCCTCATTGCCCTCCAGAACTTGGTGATGAGACGGCATTACTGAAGACACCACACACCATTGGCCACAGGACAGGAAGAAAAAAAATGGTACTGACCTGGAAGCTTCCTCCCAGGTGACAGGCTTCCCCAGTGAGGAAAGATGCTAGGCAGGCTGCTGGGGGAGAAGAGTCATCAACAATCTGACACCGGTGTGCACCCTGAGAGCGACAATAATGACCAACCTGGCAAGATAAGCCTACCGGAGTAATAGTGTCATGGATGTTATTGGGGTAACCAGATACTTTCTGACTGGATTAAGGCCTGCTCCATAGGAGGGCATGAAAATCTCCACTGCAAAGCTTGACAAGAACCCATTGCTGGGGGTTGGGGGCTGTGGGTGGGAGGCTAGAAGCAAAGAGAGCCTACTACTATTATTTTCTAAAGGGACATGGCATCAAACTACCTTATAAACACTTAGTCTTATGCCCTTAGATTAGTGCAGCTCTCCATCTTACCAGAGAGTTGTTTTGTTTGTTTCTTTGTTTGTTTGTTTGTTTCTTTCTTTCTTTCTTTCTTTGCAGTTAACACAGAGACAACTGGTCAGAGTACAAAGAACAAGTGACCATAGAGTGTTCAACCCTAAGTGAAACATCTGTATCATACCCTGCCCCAACCCAAGGCCAAGAAGCATTGTAAAGGAGGACGGAGATATTTTAAAAGCCAGAGGTGGGGTGGGCTGCCATGACATAATGTCCTCTGCCCATGGCAGGGCAGCTGCACTCTTGAACTTACAGGAGCTGTGGCTATCTGCACTAATCTGTACATGATCAAGCCTCACAGACGAGAGAGGGGTTTAGAGGGACCACCCCTAACTGCAGATAGACTGGCAGTCTTAGGTCGCCCATGTTCCAGTGGATGGTTCTATACCCATGTACATTCAGGCAGCACTGGTTGGACTCAAGGTGTTTAAGGAGAGGAGGAGGAACTGGAGGATGAGGAAGACATGAAGTTGGAAGGGGAATGTGGAGAGGTGTTCCAGGAGGAGTTAGAGGTGGGAAGTAAGGGGCAGACTTGATCAAAATACGCTGTATACGTATGTGAAACTCTTGAGGAATAACTTTTTAAACCTGTTTGTAGTATGTATGTCTGGGTGTGTGCAGAAAACAGAATCTCACTAAATTTCCATCTGGGGTGCATGTCTCGTGCATAAACATCGAAGAGAAACAAGATATCAAGGTGTCTTAAGAATACGTACACTGTACTTGAGGTGAAGTGGAGATAGCAACGGATGACAACATGGCCCTAGATAAGAGGTTCACATCCAGCATCCCACACCACCATTGAAAAGACTAAATTCATCCTAACATGCTGCTTCCTGGAAGCTCAGGTCCTGCAACCCTGACTGTGGACAACAAATGAATGAAGAAAACCAGACGCACAGACACACGGCATGGAAGGCGGGACTCAGGTATGCTACCTCTGATGAAGGGCACCTAGTACCCCAGCAGCTGGGAATGTCAGCACCTTTACTAGGTGCTGCTTATGAGAAGAGGCTGACTTGTCTCTGTTGGAGGTCTTTGTAGTCTATCAGTCCAGGCTGTAGATATCAAGAAGAGGAAGCCACAGTTGCTAGTCTTTGCATCAGTAAACACTCACACTCTTAACACCATTCCTCTTGATCCTGGCTCATATTGGAAAATGACTGTTGCCACCAAGCCTGAATACCTAGGTTCAATCCTTAGGACCCACATGGTAAATGCAAAGAACAGACACCTGAAAGTTGTCCACTGACCTCCACATATACACCAATTGTCTTAGGGTTTCTATTGCTGTGAAGAGACACCATGACCACGGCAATCCTTATAAAGGGAAATATTTAATTGGGGGTGGCCTACAGCTCAGAGCTTTAGTCCATTATCATAGTGGGAAGCATGGCAGGATGCAGGCAGACATGATGCTGGAGAAGGAACTGAGAGTCCTATATCTGGGTCCTCAGGCAGCATGAAGAGACTGAGATACGCTTCCTCCAACAAGGCCACACCCCCTAATAGTGCCACTCCCTATGGGCCTATGGGGGTCATTTTTAGTCAAGCTACCAGACCAATGCAAGTCTACACACAATATATATATATAAATTAAAAACTAATTAAGGACACATATAAGCACAGATTGATGAAAGCATAACCAAGAGTATAAAAACAGATAGAGATGGGACAGTGAAGTTGGTAGCAGTGATGTTTTAAGATTGAAACTGACATCAGAAAGTATCTGCTTAGACACAGGAAAGAAAAAGAGGCAAAGCTGAGAATAATCCTCACATTTGAGGGTGTGGGGAGGAAGTGAGAAGTTGAGCAAGATTCCTACATCTCTAACTAGAGTGATTTAGTCCACAGTGCCACTTAGCGAAACAAGACTTTAAGAAGGCAATAGTAGGAGGGAAAGTGTGTGTTCATCAGAACTCTTGGTTGGAAATGGGAGAAAACAACTGACTTAGGCAGAAAATGACTTACTGCTGCTCCGAATCCAAGAAAGAGTTCAACCAACAACAACCAAAAAAAAAAAATGCTGTAGAGCACTGTGGTAGGTACCCGTGAGTCTTCTCAGATTCTGCTACACCGTCTGTGGTAATGGTACCTCCCTACTTCCCCTGTTTGGGTATGGCTACATATGACACTCAAAGCCAGAAGAGTAATGTCTGATTTGGGTCTGGCCATGCTTTTGGCCAGAGTAGTTGGCTTAGAAGTGGTCACGGGATGAAAGCACACTAAATGGGCACTGTGATTGGATTTCTCCATTAAGTTTAACAGACGTCTCTCTAGAGCCTTTGTCCTTGGGGAGGAGGAAAGATGGGAGTAGCTTGCTGACAGCTTCCTAATCACCCCCAGTCAAAGCCTAGCCCCATAAAGGCTGATTGAAACTAATTTAAAAGTCGAGACAAGAAGATAAGGGAGATGCAGAAGAGCTGACTCAGTAGGTAAGGCTACTACTGGCTGCTCCTCCAGAGAAGCCAGGTTCTGTCCCCAGAAATCACATGAAGACTTAAAATTGTCTGTTCCTGAGGACCCAGTGTCTTCTTATGCTGGCCTCCATGGGCACCAGGCATGCACATAGTACACACACACACACACACACACACACACACACACACACACACACACACATATATACAGGCAGAATGCCCATGCGCGTATCGTAAATAGATAGAAAAATGATAAGGAAGGGAGATGGATTGAAAGAGGAGCCAGTTCTGAAGAGGGGTCAAGTAAAGGCAGGGCTGAAGAAGGCAGTCATTTGTGATCATGTTAGGTACCCTGATTTCCTTCCTGGTCACATAGGAAAGTAATTCACTTCCCCCATAGAACAGCCATCAATGAGTCCCCAAAATTCTGAGCTAATGTTTGCTGAAAGGTAGCCCAAGGACAAACTAGACACAGACTAGGTTGTCACTGGCTGGTCCTCTGTTTCATTTGTAACTCTTGGCTGTGGCTTCAGTCCCCTCGGGGCTTTCCCTCCCAAGGTTGGAAATGAGGCTGCACATAGCTCCCTGATTTCGCTATTCATCTTTTTTCAAAAAGGAATTGCCTTTATTCTGTTTGGTCCAGCGAGGGACTGTAATTGACCCACTTTGCACAACATAATAAATCAATCACTTAGTTAAATGCTGGCTCAGCTTGGGCCAAGTTGATATGCTCAAACCAATCACAAGGGGCCAGTGACATGGGCTCCTGTGAGAAGAGGCAATACTCAGTTACACAAGAGTAGGAAGCAGAGTAGTGCTAAGAATTATCCATGCCCTGTTTCTAGAAGATGGTGAACTCAGCAAGATGTGTCACTGAAAGAAAGATGGTGTTTTTAAAGATCCTGAGTTTGAGATCCTGTGAAGGGTCAAGAGAAATTAAGGAAATTTGGCCCATTGCAAATGTTGCTCAAGTCCATAAAAGACAATGTATGTGCTTGATTTTGACGAAACAGGTTGTCTTGACAACTGTCTTAGTTTCAGTCACTATTGCTGTGATAAAACAAATGACCAAAAGCAACTTGGGGAAGAAACGGTTTATTTAATTTATGCTTTGATAACACTGTTCATCATCAAAGGAAGTCAGGACAGGAACTGGAACAGGGCAGGAACCTGGTGCCTGGAGCTGATGCAGAGGCCATGGAGGAGTATTGCTTACTGGTTTGCTCCCGGTAGCTTGCTCAATCCACTTTCTCATAAAACCCAGGGCAACCAGCAATAGGCTGGGCCCTTCCCCATCAAATACTAGTTAAGAAAATGTCACACAGACATAGATAGCTACAGCCCAATCCTATGAAGTCATTTTCTTAATTGAGGTTCCTTCTCAGATGACTTTAGCTTATGTCAAGTTGACATAAAACTATCCAGCAACTTCAAATTCCCTCTATAATGGTACTCCAACATTACCTAGCTCTGTGATTTGTTAAATAACTACATGCCTCTATAATGGTGCTCCAACATTACCTAGCTCTGTGATTTGTTAAATAACTACATGCCTCTATAATGGTGCTCCAACATTACCTAGCTCTGTGATTTGTTAAATAACTGCATGCCTCTATAATGGTGCTCCAACATTACCTAGCTCTGTGATTTGTTAAATAACTACATGCCTCTATAATGGTGCTCCAACATTACCTAGCTCTGTGATTTGTTAAATAACTGCATGCCTCTATAATGGTGCTCCAACATTACCTAGCTCTGTGATTTGTTAAATAACTGCATGCCTCTAAACAGTCGTGTGCTACGGCAGAATAGACAGTGTGAAGTAAAAAAACGGTTGAACTTGCAAATGAAGGTCTACTTTCCATCAAGGGAGTCTCATTGGGGAAACAA